ATGTTTCTGTTACCATTTATCCACCTTCAAGTGGGAGTGATTCTGTGTTTTCCACCCAATAGGTGCTATTGATTATTTATTTACCCCATGGTCAAATTTTATTAATTACTTAATTAGTAGTCATGAAAACAATTAGTTTGGGGGAGCAGGGACTGTTATATACATGCTAAGAGCAAATTGAGCATAAGTGAGACACAGACAGAAGCTCAGTTTAAGAAGCAAACATAGCCTTTAAATGTAGCATGGTGTAGGCCCCTAAGACGGCTCCTACTAAAGGGTGTGTATGTTCATCCATATACATGTGCGTACTCATGCCCCGCATTGGCTGCCTCCTGCTCTCCTTGATCTTACATCTAGGTGCCTGCCATTAAACTGAAATTAATCTGACATTTCTGTTTCGGGGCTCTGCACCAGTAAAATAACTTAAACAGAAGATTTCAAAGAATAGCTCAAGAAGACGAAGTAAAGTATTATACTGAAATGTGCAAAGACCTGTAGTTAGAACACCAAAGGGGAAGAATATGCTTGGAGTTTCTCAATCTGAAAAAAAAAAAAAAGTTCATACCTCAAGTTGCACTATTGGAGGACTATATGGGAAAAATATTAGAGAAAGCAGGAAAACTCCAAAGAAGGTGGAATCCACAAAGTCATTGCATCAAAAAGAACTAGCAAATATTTAACCATATCAGCAAATGTTCTAGAATGAATGGTAATGAAGGAAGAAGTCCAAGGTGCACTGACGGCACTGGCAAAAAGCAAAGTTCTGGAAATTGACAGAATTATCAATTGCAATGTCTCAACAAATGGATGCAATACTGAAAACGGTCAGACTACACTAAAATATTTGGAAGGCAGTTGCCTAGGCAACAGAATGGAAAAGACCCATATTTACATGCAGTCCAAAGAAAGGTGATCAAACAGAGCATGGGAATTTCCAGACAGTATTTTAATATCACATGAAAGTCAAATTATGCAGACGATGGTCCAGAAACAGTTGCTGCAGTGCATCCATGAACAGAGAACTGCCAGAAACTCGTGCCAGGTTCAGAAACGGACATGGAATAAAGGAATTCATTGCTAATGTGTGATACTTTTGTTGTTGTTGTTAAGTGTCGTAGGTCGGGTTCTGACCCATAGCGGCCCTGAATAGGGTTACGGAGGAGCAACTGGTGAACTTGAACTATAGGCTTCCTGGTTCAAGCAGATTTTGCAGTCCAGCACATTAACCAACAGTGCCACACCAGGACTCCAATGTGCTAAACTGTTGTTGTTAAGTGCTGTCAAGTCAATTCCGACCCTTAACAACCCTGTATAAAGTTTCCAAGTAGCACCTGGTGAGCTTCAACCACCAACCTTGCAATTCAAACGACTTTGCTGTCTGACACACTTAACCCACAGCATCACACCAGGACTCCAATGAATGAAATAGGTTGGTTAAAAGCAGAGAATACCAGAAATATGTTTGCCTGTGTTTTATTAACTATGTAAAGACACTCAAAACAAACTATGGATCATAACTACGGATAACATTGTGGAAAATGGGAATTCCAGAACACATATATATGCTCATGCAGAACCTGTACATAGACCAAGATGTAGCCATTCTTACAGAACAGGGACTACTGTACAGATTCAGATCAGGAAAGTTATGTGTCAGGGTCAGGGTTGTATCCTTCCACCGTGCTTATTCAGCCTGTATGTTGAACAGATAATAAGAGAAGCTGGACTATAAGGAAAAGAACCCATCATCAAGATCAGAAGAAGACTCATTAGCAACCTGTGATGTGCAGATGGCACAGTATTGCTTGTTGAAAGTGAAGAAGCCGTGAAAACATTTACTGAAGAAGAACAAAGACTTCAGCCTTCAGTATGGATTATAGCTCAACATAAGCTTAAAAAAAAACAACTAACATACTGCCATCAAGTCAATTCCAATTCGTGTAGACCTTATCGGACAGAGTTGAACTGCTCCATGGGCTTTCTGAAACTGTAGGTCTTTGTGGGAACAGATTGCCTCATCTTTCCCTTGCAGAGCAGTTGGTGGGTTTGAACAAGCAACCTCGCATTTAGCAGCCCAGTGCTTAATCCACTGCAACACCATGGCTGCTCCTCAACACAATGAAAACCAAAGAATCATCATGATAAATAGAAAAAAGATTGAAGACGTCAGGGCTTTCAATAAATCAAACAACTCACTGTACTGGGCTGATCTGCTACAAAAGACCTCTTTAAAGAGTTAAAATTTAAAACGTCATCTTGAGGACTAAGGTGTACCTGACCCAAGCTGTAGTATTTTTAATCTCATATATGGAGTCCTGGTGTGGCACTGTGGGTTAATGTGCCAGACTTCAAAGTCGTTTGAACTGCAAGGTCGGTGGTTCAAGCTCACCACCTGCTCCTCGGAAACCCTATATAGGGTCGCTATGGGTCAGAACCGACTTGACAGCACTTAACAACAACAATTCATAGGAAAACTGGACAGTGAATAATAAAGACTGAAGAAGAATTGATGCCTTTGAATTATGGTTGTGGAAGAATATTGAATACACTATGGCCCAACAGAATGAAGAACAAATCTGTGTTGAAGTAAGTACATTGAGAATGGTCGTTAGAAGTAAGGATAGCAGACTTTATTTCATCTACTTTGGACATACTGTCAGAAGTCCACACACAGTGCTTTGATAAAGACATCATGCTTGGTAAAGTAAAGGGTCAGCAAAAATAAAGAGGAAGATCTTGAATGAGATGTATTGACATAGTGGCTTTAACACTGGGCTCAAACATAGCAACGTGAGTGAGGAAGGCATAGTGCTTCATTGTGTCACTATGATTCGGAACCAATGATGGTGGACATGATGTTGAACGCTCATGTCAAACCTCGGGAACTAGATCTCTCTGGATTCACGATTAGGTTGACACAAGGATACAGAGGAAACCCACCCCAGCTTCCGGGCCATTTATGAGACCTTGGGGTCAGAGTGATGCCTGTGCTCTATTCTGCTTGCAGATTCCTAAGTGAGGCCTATAGCTGCCTTTGCCTAAATACAGAGCTCTGCATGCTAGAGTGTGGTGAGAAATGCTATCACTGCAGTCCTTTGAGAATACAATTCATCACTCCCACTTTAACAATCACAAAAATTGATCAGCTCCTACTCTGGAATAAAATGTTTAAGAGCAAGATTCCCATGCTGTTGTTGATTTCGGTATCTTCTGGGTCTTGCCTTTTGAGGAACTTGTCATTTCACTGACAAGGTAAAGCTAGAGTCTAAAAGATAAAATCTAGACCAAATGCTATATGTTAAATACAATATAAGAGGCAATGAGGGCGTATTGGATTTCTGAATACATGGAAGATATTTGATAAAAGAGAAGAGTTAGGATTTGAATTACACTTCGGATTCAATATCTTACTGGAATGGGAAGTGGAAGGTAAAAGAGAAGGGAAATTGAGGGTCAAGGAGGGTGGCAGGAATGTACAGAGCTTTCTGAGGGAAGTAAGTAGACCCTGGTGATGGTTATGTGTCATGGAGTTGGTACTGACTCACAGCGACCCTGTACAGGGTTTTCGAGGCTGTAAATCTTAGGTGGTGGTGGTTATGTGCCATGGAGTCGGTTCTGACTCATAGCGACCCTGTACAGGGTTTCTGAGGCTGTAAATCTTTACGGGAGCAGAAAACCTCATCTTTCTCCTGTGGAACAGCTAGTGACCTTGTGGTTCACAGCCCGATTCATAACCACTGTGCTACCAGAGACCCTAGTCTTCTGCATAAGGAGCTTTGGTGGTGCAGTGGGTTAGCCCTTGTGCTGCTTGATGATTGGCAGTGTGAATTTACCATGGGAGAAAGATGAAGCCGACTGCTCCAAGGTTTACAGCCTTGGAAGCCCGATTGAGCAGTTCTGCTCTGTCCTATAGAATGGCTAGGAGCTGGATAAAAGTTTGAATATAGAGGAAGGGTTAGCTTTTGAAGAAGCTTGCTTTGGGGGTTTATTCTGCCCCTTCTGTCATGAATCCCATCACAGACATGTACATATTTAAGTATCATGAATACCGTTATCATGTTCTCAGTGTGAGAAGCACTTCCTTGGGGGGATTCCAGGGAGTCCTGGCCCTGAAGTGTCAGCTCCCCTCATAGGAGAGCTAGAGTCGACTTGTCCAGGCAGTTTGAGGAGTCCGGATGTGGCGCTGTGGGTTAATGCACCTGACTGCAAAGGCGTTGGAACTGCGAGGTCAGCAGTTCAAGCTCACCAGTCGCTCCTCGGAAAACCTGTATAGGGTCGCTGTGGATCGGATTTGGCTCGACGGCACTTCACAACAACAACAACACGCAGTTTGAACTATTCAAAAAAGCTATTCTAAAAGGATGCCAGGATGTGCTTATTGTGCTTTTTAAGCCCAGAGAAGGAAACCAACCACTAGATAAGTTGTAGAGACAAACTACAAGTGGCCTGTTAAAAGCTACCACCTCCAAGCGCTCCTCCTCTCCCACTAACTGCATCACTGACTCTATTAGCCATGATGCTGAGCGTTTTCCACAAATGACAATGCAAGGCTCCATCAAAAGCCATCATTTCTTTAGTTCATCAAATCTCTATTCACTACAATAGAGTAGTGTCCTTGTGGTGTGTGCTTTATGACTGCTTTTATGAAGACAGTGAAGAGACAAAATGTAAAGATGGAAACTTAAATTGCCTTTATATCGCTAAGATTTGCCGTCTTCAAAAATAACATGCTAGATTAATGCATTTCTGATTTCAATGAGGTTTGTGTGTGTGTGTGTGTGTGGCGGGGGGGTGGTGGTGGTAAGTTGGTCTTCCCTGCACATAACAATTTTCTCAAACATGGGCTGTAGAAGAAAACATTGTGACTTCTTTTGGGGTGCTTTGAGGCATACAAGATGCTTTTTTTTAAACTAACGTGTCTGAAATATAATAAAACGGGTATGATATGAAAAGGTGTCTTTCAGTTATAGACTTTTTTTCTACAATGTGTTTTGTTACAGGATCTGAGGGAGGAATGCTTAAAGTTGAAAACAAGAGTGTTTGATTTGGAACAGCAGAATCAGACGTTGAGCATCCTATTCCAGCAGCAAGTCCGGCCAGCTTCTGAAGTACTCCTTCAGGTATGTGTTCATATGTAACGCAGTATTTGCTCCAGAAATGCTATTGACAGTAAGTTAACTCAAGTTCAAAAGGTATCACCACCACTGTGGGCGAGGCATATTGCAACAGACCCCAGATTCTCTTTTCTCTCAAGGGATGTCATTAAAACAGAATGGCACATCAGTTTCTGACTAGTTAAAGCTACATGCAGGTAAGAAATCACCTGATCAAAGAAGAAACAGGTAAAAGGGACACAGGAGTATTCTCTAGAAAGCAAAAGATAGAGCCACGGAATAGAGTTAGGAGTAATTGATTGCTTTGGGGACTAGTATTAGTAATCTCACATTCTGTGATAAGGATGGAAGTTTCATGTAATGCCAAAATACCTTCCTTTATTTCAAGCTCTCTGTAATCAAAGAGACATCCAGGTTTTGTTTTGCTCTCTTCATCAGATTTCTGAATTCTCACAGCAAACTACATTCTACCTCAGTTTATTTGAAGTTCTGTTTGTCTGACTGCTCACACTGAACTCTGATTTGCTTTGCTTGCAGAGCATGGTAAAAAGTCATGGAAAGTCAAACCATTTGAATAGTTTGAAACTCTCGAGAATCTGACCTGTTTCAGAGAAACTCACATGCATTGTCAGAGTGGGTTGGAGGACTGACCTTTGCAGTTTCTAGGTTTGTTTGTTGTTTTTTGATCCTGTGAATGTGTACATTTGCACAAACAAGCTCCCATGAGTCTTGCTTAGTGCCCATCTGAGGCTGAGCTTTTTCAAGGCCCATGTATAATGTACAAAGTATGTTCCACAGCTCCCTGCTCTGGTTGGCTGAAAGTAGGCCAAGGTCCTCCAAATTCTGATAGTCAAGACTGCACAGCCCAATAGTCACCAGACATGAGAGGCTATTTAAAGTAAGTAAGATTAATTTGAACTCAGTTAAAATTCAGTTTCTCTGTCACACTAACCACACTTCAGGTATTCAGAAGCTCCATGTGACTACCATACTGAACAATGCATTTATAAACCATTTCATCGTGGTAGAAAGTTCTACTGAACAACATGCACTGGTATGTCAAGACTGTGTTGCTAATTCACCTTCTGAACTCACCATAAACATCAAAGGACTCCTCAGGGAATTCATGGGAAAACCACAGTTCATTTCAAAGAATGATATTTCATAAAACTGAAACATCAAAATGTAATTTGCCCCCCAAATTAAAATAAAACAGCTCTCAGAATTACAAAATATATCTCATCTCTTAATTTCCTTTCTGCTTTGTCTGTTCGTATCATCCATAATTTATGACTTCAAAAATTATGTGGGGGAAAAATAAGTCTTATCTCTATTCTGCTTCTGGTCCCAGCCACAATAAATGTTTGTCATAGGGGATTGTGCATCTGGAAAGCTGTTTCTGCCTTGTTCTCTCAAACTCAAGCTCCAGTGTTTCACACAGCTGTTTCACATCCACGAATGCTTTCTGTTTAGTCTGTTTTAACTTGAGGCTTTTCTATAACACTGTTTGAAGACTTGTAACCCCTGTTTATGGATCATGATGATCTATTTCCACAGTAAACAATGTGCTGTAGATATTTAAGCTGTTTCATTGGCTAATGCAAATTCTTAAGTCTATTATCCAAATGGCCAAGAACGAGATGCATGCTGACAATAGAAACTCAGCGTTATTCATTGGATATTTTGAAGCCAACAAATTTCATATTCATTCTGAAACAGTCCTCATTTCCAGGAGCCATTCTAACTTAAATAATTTTTATAAATGATGTACTACTCATAATTCCATGAAGAAGAAGTGACAGAAAATATAATGACTGATATCTGGAAGCTCAGAATTGCAAACAGAGAAGTTGCTGGTTTTTCATGTGGTTTGTTAATTATTGGACTTATGAATTCTCATTTTCTGAAGGTACGTCAGGTTTCATTGAAATGCAATTATCATACCAGCTAAAATTAAAGCAGTCTGAACTTGCTTAGCATTGACAGAGCTCAGTAGCCATTTGTTACATGAACCAACCAACCAGTCAACCAGTAACCATGGAGTCGATTCTGACATGGTGACCCAGTGTGTGTTGGAGTAAAACCATACCCCATAGAAATGTCAATGGCTGTTTTCTGTTTTGTTTTTTTAAATTTCAGGCCAGGTCCTTTGTCCAAGGCACTTCCCTAATATATTCTGTCTTTTGCAACTGAATAAATAACAGTTTTATTCTGCACGTGGAGTTATTTTGCCTAAATCTAAAGGAGTTTTATACCCCCATCTCTAAAGTGTTCCTATCTTAGTGGATGTTCTGCTACTATGCAGACAGGCTTGTCCCTCCCAGTGTGGTGGAGGGTGTGAGGCGGTGGGTGCAGCAAATCCATCAGAACCTTGGGTCCCATACAATATAGAAGCTCATATAGAGCTGCAGATTAAGACAGACTCTCAAGTTCCAGCATGTCTGAGTCAACAGTCCTAGTTGTCATTTGCTGAATGCAATCTAATGATTCCTTCCATCTGAAACAAGCACCTATAGAAACATGCAGAGAGATTCTTGAATCCATTATGATATTTGATCGATAAACTATAAATAGAGATGACAGCAGTTTAAGAGAAAAACTCGACCCTCAAAAATATAGTCATAGGCTACATAATAGGGAAATTCAAATAGCTTGTAGAATAATACTAGATTCCATAAACTTTTTGAAGTCCTCTCATACATGGATATCGTTAGTCAAGCCGTGGTATGTTGTTAAGTGCTGTCGAATCGATTCTGACTCGTAACAACCTTGAATAGGGTTTTTGAGGCTGTAAATCTTCACGGGAGCAGAAAGTCTCATCTTTCTCCCAAGTAACTGCTGACCTTTTGGTTAGCAGCCCAACTTTAAACCACTATGCTACCAGTACAGGAGAAAAGAAAAAGAGGGTAGTTTGAAGGATTCGTTGATAGGTTCAGAGATGCTTATAAAAAATGGCTGAACCATGGAAGGTGTGAAACAATTTTAGCCTTAACCTAAAAATTAAAATCTTGAAATTGGCAATAAACTTCTCTATTAACTCCAACTTCCAAATATCTCTGGGACTATGTTATTTGGTTGTTGCTATTGTTAAGTGCAAGTCAGTTCAAGAGCAAGTGTCAATCTCTTCTGGCATTCACTGTTTTTTTCTTTCTCTCCTGGCTTTTTAATGACCATTTCCTTTTTTTATGTTCTTGATGTCATCTTACAACTTCTCTGGTGTTCAGTGCATCAAAGCTGTTCTTCAGGTGGTCCCTAAATTCAGGTGGGATATAGTCAAGATCATAATTTGGCTTTCATGGAGTTGTTTGAATTTTCTTAAGCTTCACCCTGAACTTGCATATGAGCAATTAATCATCTGTTCCATAGTCGGCCCCGGCCTTACTTTGGCTGAAGATGTTGAGCTTCTCCATGGTATCCTACCACAGATATAGCTGAGTTGATTCCTGTGCATTTCATCTGGTAAAGTCCACATGCATAGTCACTGTTTATGTCATTCTGTCAAGCTATCTCCACCATCATTTCTATCACCAAGGCCCTATTTTTTCTGACTACTAATCCTTCTTTGTTACAGATTTTCACATTCCAATCAGTAGCAATCACCAGTGCATCTTGATTGCATATTTGATCAATTTCAGACTCTAGAGTTTGTAAAATTCAATTTCTTCATTATTTAGTAAATAGTACATACATTTGAATAATAGTCATATTATTATGGTCTTCTAGGTAAGCATGTCTACATGTTGTTGTTGTTAGGTGCCATCGAGTCAGAACCGACTCATAGCGACCCCATGCACAGCAGAACGAAACAATGTCCTATCCTGGGCCAACCTCACTGCC